GGCTGGTTAACTCAGGTGGTTGGTTAGAGCACAGGTATAACACCAAGGTTGCAGGTTCGATTCCCACATGGGCCACGGAGCTACATCCTCCACAACTAGATTGAAACAACTACTTGACTTGGATCTGATGGGTCCTGGAAAAACACACTGTTCCCCAATAAAATTTCTAAAAAAAAAAATGAGTGCCAAAACCATTCAGTGGGAGAAATAATAGTGCTTTCAGTAAATGGTGCTGGAACAATCAGATATCTACATGCAAAAAAATTAAGTTGGACCACCTACCTTACATCATATACAAAAATTAACTCAAAATGGGTCAAAGACCTAAATGCAAGATATAAAACTATCAAACTCTTAGAAGAAAACATAGGTGTAAATCTTCATGACCTTGGGTTAGGCAAGGTTTCTTAGATATGACACCTAATACACAAGTAACCAAAGAAAAAAATAGATAAATTGGGTTTCATCAGAATTGAAAACTTGTGCTTCAAAGGACACCATCAAGAAAGTGAAAAGACAACCTCTATATTGGGAGAAAATATTTGCAAGTCATAATCATAATTCTAGTATCCAGAATATATTAAGGACTCCTACAAAAAACAAGAACAATACAGATAACCCAATTTTTTAAATGGGCAAAGGATTTGAATAGACATGTCTCCAAAGAAAATATACAACTGGCCAATAAGCACATGAAAAGATATTCAACATCATTAGTCATTAGGAAAACACAATTGAAAATCACAATGAGATATCACTTCACACCCACTAGCATGGCTGTAATAAACAAAGATGAAAACTAACAAATGTTGGTGAGCATGTGAGAAATTGGATCCCTCATACACTGCTAGTGAAAGTGTTTTGCAGTTGCCATGGAAAACAGAATGGCAGTTCCTCAAATAGTTAAATATAGTTTAACCACGTGACCCAGCAATTCCACTCCTAGGTATATACCCCAAAGGATTGAAAACATATTCACACGAAAACTTGTCCACAATGTTCATAGCAGCATAATAGTCAAGAAGTGGAAACAACTCAAATGTGCATCAACTGATGAATGGATGAACAATATGTGTATATTCATACAATGGCGTATTATTATTCAGCCATAGAAAGGAACAAAGTACTGAAAATTGCAACAACATGTATGAACCTTGAAAACTTTACATGAAGTGAAAGAAGCCAGATCTGAAAGACCATGTGTTTCATGGTCCCATTTATATAAAACGTTCAGAATAGGCTAATCCAAGGAAACAGAAAGTAGATTTTAGTAGTTGCCTGGGGCTGGGAAGACGGGGACTTGGGAGCGATTGCTATTGGGTACAGGATTTCTTGGATGAAAACCTTCTAGAATTCGATGGCAGTGATGGTTGTACAACCTAGTGAATATATTAAAACCACCACGCTGTACACTTTAAATGAGTTGAAGTTTTGTTAGTGTATTATATCTCAATAAAAAAAGGTTGTGCTGAGGAGTAGTGTCATATGAAGCGCTAACAGTGCCTGCATATTAGAGGTGATTAGTAAATACTAGTTCTTTTGCCTTTCTGCCTTTATAGTATCTCCACCTCTAACCAGCAGCAGCTCCTGTGCTCACAGCCCACGGACACACCTTTAGGTCCTGGGGGCACAGGGGTGAGAGAAGAAGTCTAAATTGGACTTGGCAGTCTGATAACAGAGATAATCTAACAATAGGGAATGACAAGCTGAAACACGCTGTGAACAAAAAGGGAAAGCCCGGGTCTTGAGTGTGAATAAGAGGAAGCTGCTCTTGTTTGGGGAGGGAAGACTGTGCAGGAAATTATCCTGAAAACGAGGCTTGGTGGTAAACAAAGAATGTTCTTTCTCTTTTCCTTGCAGAGGAAGTCTGAAGCCGCTGAAGGGTCGGTGAGTAATTCCACGGGTGGGTGGCCTGCGTGCCCTTGGCAGGGCTGTGGCCTCGCTTCCTTATTGAGTCGTCAGGCTGAACGAGTCCTGGGGCTGGACTGCAGCGGCTGCGGTGCCACCTGAGGGCGACCCGGGGTGACCTAGATGGCATCTGGGATCTTCACTGAGGGGCAAACGGGAACCCTTTAGTTTTACTTGTGTCTTGAGACGTGGAAAAAGAACAAGGAGAGAAGACATCATTTAAAACAGTCAGGTGGTTTCCTAAACTATCCTTTTGTGGAGCGTGGCAAAGAGGAATGAAGGTTTTAGAAGTCATTATTGTAATCTGGACCCTGATTTTCAGAATTTTGAGTGGTCTGTAAGAAACACACTAGACAGCCTAATAACATAGAAGACAAAAGTCATAAGAGGAAAACAAATATTCCAGAAAGCCAGGCTAATAGAATTACTGTATTGAGTATTAAATTTAGCTCTATGCTTCCTGATAGCTGAGACACAAAGAAAAACACGATTTAACCAGTTTTAATGTATGGTTGAAAAGGAAGCACAGCATATTAGTGTCCTTATTGTCTCTTAAGTTTCCAAAATGTGATTTAACAAGAACATTACGTAAGACGTTTTAAAAAAAGAAAAAGAAAGGAGCCCACAACAGCACTGCCTCCCTAAGAGCTGCCATTTCCACTGAGGACCCACAGCAGGCCGGGTACTTTGTGTGCGTAGGAGGGAATATCTCCATTTCAACTGATTTAGTTTTTGCAAATACCTTCCAATATGTGACCACATAGGTATACTTTTTGGGGTAATTATAAATCAGCACTGCCCCCTCCCTTATTGGATGTTTCTCAAACTTTAATATGCACCCAGTCTCCTGGGGGTGTTGTTACGGCAGATTCTGATTCAGCGGGAGGGGGGGCCACAGACACTGCCTTTCTAACCATCTCCCCAGTGATGGGGGCTGGAATAGGGGTCACCCTTTGAGTAGTAAATAATCATAGACATTTTCTCATGTTTTTTGCCATGTTATTGATTTTTTAAAAGCTGCCAACTCCACACCATTTAATTGTAAAACCAGACCCGGGTATTAGCCATTTAGTATTGCTGTCATAGATAATAATTTTTTGATAAATTCTGGAGTGGAATTACTGTTTTTTTCTTTTGAAAAAATTTTGCATCACAGTTTATTTACATTTTAATGGACATGAGTTTTTACTTGAGGGACATTGAACACGATCTTACACACTAATGAGGGAATTTGCAGGTTTGGGTAGAAATGAACCAAAATGGGGGCATATGTGGAAAAGGTTTTAATTTTTATTGGCTTTAAAAGTGTCACATTTTATAATCTTGTGGTTTTTTTTGTTTTGTTTTGTTTTTAATACTACAGGTCATCTACTTCCCTGACAATGGAAAATTAGGGATAGAATTCTCCAGAGAGAAAAACGTGTTCCTGCCACGCATCCCTGCCCCTGGCTACTGGAAGCTTGAAGCTCCGAAGTCTTTCATTATAGGAGTAGGATTAGAATCTGGCAGTCTCCTGAGACGAGACCTCCTACTGTCTCCAGAAAACTTTCAGGCGACGCAGAACTGCAGTGACCCACATCAAAGATACTCAGAGACATGGGTGGTATTCTCCTGACCAGGGACCCAAGTTCTCTTCCTATCCCTTCATACTCGAAAATTACTGGACCCTCTCAAGGCCTCACCTGTAAAACGAGGTGGAATGAGTCCCTGTCTAGCGGCCCCCTGGTCTGTGTCTCCGACAGCCTAATTAACGGAGGATGCCCTCCTTTGAAGGCACAGCAGAAACTGCCACCGGCTATCAAGGGCAACTGAAGAGAGGTGGCTGTGAGCGTGCTGGGTTATTTCAGGTGGAGGTTTAGGGCAGCCTGTGCCTTTCCTTAACCAATACACTCTGACAGCATTTTGTGTTTTTTTATGATGCTCATAGGTGGAGAAGGCATAGAGAGGCTCCCAGAACCTGACCCATCAGGAAGTTTAATAAAGATTGGGTGAATGTAGGATCTAAACACTTAGGAGACTAAATTGACTATTTTCCCCTTTGGAACCCCAAATCACGTTTCTTCATAGTACCCACACTGATCCAATCTGAACTGGCTATGAAATTCAGGAGTTTGTGTCCAAGTAATTTATAGTGACAGATGACACTTCTTGTAAAACACTTTGGATCTGCCACGTTAAGTGGTGCATCTTTTGCCAGCCTCCAGAGGGGAACTCAGTTTAGGTAAAACCTCATTGTAGTGAAGGCCAACAGATAGGTTCTCTTGGCTGCTCCCTGCCTGGGGAGTAGTGTATTAGAAACGGGGTCTTGTTGATTAGCTCAGTGAGTGACCCTAGGGGATGCTTGGTCCTTGTCCATTTACTCACTCAGGAAAGAGGAAACATGGGCACCGTTCTCTCATTGGGGAGAGGGGTAAATGCTGAGCAAAGGTGTTATGGGTCTTGTCGTTGTTTTGTCACACAGCAGTGACAAGGTGAACAGGTTTCCTATTCTTGGGCTGCAGGGCAGGATTTTTAACCAGTGCACTCTGACAGCTTGTGCAGGACGGCTTTTCTTCTCTAGTTCAGATGGGCCAGGAGTCAGAACCCTCCCAGCACTGTCTCAGTTTTGGCTGATGGTTAACTATTAAAATGGGGTTTACGAACAATCCTATTTGTTTTCTTGCACTGATAAAATTATGTCAGGCAAGCTTGAATGACAGAATTTTACAAGTTCTGTAGCTTAGTGAGTTTTCTAACTACATTTGTTTATTTCTCGTAATTTTACTTTTTATAAGACGCAAAAAACATTTCTAAAAGCCTCTCTACCCTCAAAATATTTCTCACTGAACTGGCGCTCATGGTGGTTCCCAGAAACTTCTGGGAGTGTAAGGTGCATCACCAGGCAGAGCGAGTGTCAGTGCTGGGGACGGATCTGCCAAGTTGTAGGATCCAGCGTTTCACTTTGGCTTTATCTTCAAGGAAACTCAGAATTTACCCCCTCCAATAATAGTGATGATTTTGGTTGACACCCTGTAACTGCTTATCAGCTCTTCTCAAGTGGCTTTACCTTTAAATAAATTCTTAAAAGGCACCTCAAATCTCATGTTTGAAAGAATACAATCAATAAAATCAGCACTCCTTTAACGAAGTTGTCTTATTCCTTCCTCACTTCTGGCTTGCCTCTGCCTTGGGCTGGGGGCTGGGGACGATTGTGACACCCAAGTTTCACCAATAACTAGCCCTGAGCAGAGATGGCCGTGAGGAAAGGGCTAGTCATTTATATCTGAAATGTGAACTGGAAGGATATCCCAAATGCTTTATCTTATATTCCTGCATTAATTACCCATTGCTGCATATTACCCACACCTCAGTGGCTTTAGAACATTCCAGTTTCTGTGGGTTAGGAATCTGGCATCTTAGCTAAGTGTCTCTGCCTCAAGGTTTCCCACCGGGCTGCCAGTAAGGTGGTGGGCCTGCTTCCAAGCTGTTTGTCTGCAGAATTCCGTTTCTCACAGGTTGTACTGAGGGCCTGAGTCCTTGCTGGCTGCGGGCCTCTCCATAGGTGTATTCACCTGGCAGCTTACTTCCGCAGAGCAAGAGGGTACAGACAGAAGCTACAGCCCTTTTGTAACCTTATCTCAGAAGTGACACCGTCATGTTTTCCTTAATCTGATTGTTAGAACAGTCACAAAGTCCAGCCCACATTCAAGGCAAGGGGACTACACAAGTGTGTGAATAACAGGAGGTGGGAATCGCTGGGGTGCTTTTAAAAGTATTGTTATTCATAATTACTTAAGTTTCTGCTGAAATGGGTGTGTACCAGAATGCTTTACTGGGACAAAGATTAAATTCTGCTTTATTGGGACAAAGATTAAGTGCTGCTGCTGAATGTTTATTTTGTAATAAATTAAGTGGCTTACGATGAAAGGGCCCTCAAAACTCATCCCATTTTCATCTAACCTCAAGAGGATTTAATTATAGTGAGGCCCACTAATTTCCAACACTGACCATACTTGCCTCTATGTTTAGTAAATCCAAAGCTACTAATGCAGTAATTTAGGGGTACAAGTTCTAAGAACATAGCTCAAGCTGTAGGCAGCCGACACACTATCCTAACACAGTCCAGTTCTGCCAACCGGAGGGCAAGGCTGGTTACTGTATTAAAATGGGCAAAGCTAGACGTGAATTACAGACAACAGATGATAAAAAGTGAACTTGGGAGGACACAAAATCAAATTGATCATCTATGTATTAAAAATCCTCCCTTTGTAAGAAATGGTGTAGCCAGTAACAGCACTGGGTACTAATGTAATTTTGCTTAATTCCTTAGTTTTCAAACTTCTAAACACTTAACATGATCTCAAATTTTCTGGCTTCTAAATTGTGATATTTCTGATATCACAAGGACTTGGTGTCGATTAATATTTGTGCAAGGACTTAAAAGACAACTGTGTATCATATAATTTTTAAATTCCAACTTAAAAAAAAAAAGGACTTGTGACAAAAATCACAACTTCTCTTCAGTAGGTCTCAAGGTCCAGGTATTATCTGTGTATATTGAAGACGGTGAAAGAGCTGGAAGTGACCAATGCCTTAACTCCAAACGCACTAAATCGGCGGGCAAAACACAGAGGGCTATCCAAGCTTCTCTGGAGTCATAAGGCCTTATTTTGGGAGCAAATCTAAGTTCAGACTCATTATCAATAAATCACCAATATTCTGTGACCCAGTGGCCTAAGAGAAAATCACTTTCCTCCTAAGGCCAAACTGGAACTCTATAGGCTTCAAAAATGAAAGAACGGGCAGCAATGAAATGCATTTGCAACCTGGGCCTGTTCTGGGGCAACAAAATGGGTTTCCCTGTGGACACTCAGGGCAAACAAAGAGTTACAGGTGGGGTTGTAACTCCACCTCCGTTCGCTGGTTGTTTTGAGACAGCTGTATGCATTCCTAGGACAGCATTTAAGTTTTCCAAAACCCTGGGAGTTCTAGGTATACATTTAACACAGGCTTGGAGAGGCTGCCTAGGTTGGTCAGTCTGGTGAACCCAGTAGTTTGATGAATCCCAATTGAACTTTTTTAGGCATTTTTTAAAACAGGTTACATTCTGGTCAACACTACATATGTCTTAAGTATGACACAATTAAAACAAATGAACTAGAACAGCTTATGTATAGCTTAGGGGTGGGGAAGGACTTTCTATGAATCACACTTAAAAATACCACAAATGAAAATGAAAGGCAAATTAAAAACTAGAAAAGTATGTGATGGAAAAAAGACAAAAATGCATTACCTTTAATATATAACAAATTTTTACCAAGTCATCAAATAGGGAAGCACACCAAAAGAAAGCTGGGTAACATAGGCAAATAACTAAAAAGTATCAGATGGGTAATAAAACCCATGAAACAAGTCTCTGACTTCATTAGTCACCCAGTATGCAGAGTAAAACAAAATACTCCCTTTTGGGGGCAATCAAACTAGTTATTAGGAATAAAATGAGTGATTGCAATAGGCCCACTGAATTCTCTTGGTCACAGCAAAACAGTCAAACTGTTCACAAAAGTTAGGCAAATTTATTAAAAGCCTTAAAAATGTGCTTAGTCTCTGGCCCAGCCATTCCATTTCTAAGAATTTATCCTTAAGGAGTGAATCAGACAAGTGTATGAAAACCTGTGTACAAGTGTTCACCATGCTGGGGCCTCAGTCAGAGTTCACAAATCTTCGGCATTTTGCACACACTGCGATTGCAATCTGAGGGGAAAAACACACACACCACAAATATTCTGGGGAAAATGCTATCGGACGTAGAGAATTAACAATTTTCTTAATATTTTCCAAAATGTATTTTGTTAATCCCACCCCACCCCCAATTTAAAGACAGAAGCCCAGCTACAAGCCCCACAAAATAGTACGTGCGCAAGTTGTACAGTTTCATTGCATATTTAAGTTCCCAAAGCATATGGAACCAATTCTTTCCTCCACGATTAAGTTTAGGTCAGACCAACTTGGACAACAAATGAACACCAAGTCTTCTGGAAACATGTAGGTTATTAAATTATTTATTGTATTGCATTTACAAAGAAAACAGACGATGCACCCAGTAGAAAGAATAAAAATGTTTTCAGGGTTTTATTTTTAACTGACAGCAAATAGAAATCCTTTAGTGAGATCATGGCAATTTGACAGAATTATGATTAAGTCCAACAAAGGTACGGGGGTGCTTGGAAGATCGAATTCTACAGCTGCCTCTTTCCACAGCTTCTGATTCATCTGGCTCCTTAAATGATGGGGGGAAAGCCCTTATTTGGTGGGGAAACATTTCCAAAATGAAATTATAGATTCTCTTACTATAATTTCATGTCAGTTGTTAAAATGGGGCCTTCTATTTGTGTTTTTTTGGTTATTTCACTTTAATTTCATCACCAGAATTCCACAATTGTGATTTTACAGTGTAGAAAAGAATTCAGTTCTAGTCTGCTATTGCTTTAGATATATGTATCGCTAAAAACCCAAAGTGGATAAGAATTGAATAATTTTCCCTGCCGTTGTTTGATACAATCTATTCTCCTTATTCTTGATACGTGCATAGACAGCCTCACTTAAAATTCTTTCTACAGGAACATGTCTGATTTCAGGACTACCCAATCAAGAATCCGATGAATGGCTGGCCATAGTAATATGTTTATGAGTTAAACGGATTGCATAATTGTGCCACTTTTCCCTTTGCCATTATTGGTGGATAAATGACAGAATCTAGAATCCAGTCTCCTGTGGAGAAAGTTGGCTACTCAGCAGTCTCGTCGGTAGCTTTGCTGGCAGAGCCTCAAGTCACACCTCCTTGGCTTTCTGTAAAGCAGTCCTGTAGCCACTTCAGGAGGGTGCCGTAATCTCCAAGGCCCACTTGGTCCATCTGAACGAGTGGTGGTGACCTCAATCCTGCCCCTCTTTTGCTTTTCAATATGACCCGAGGAATATGTAATGTAGGGCAAGGCAAGTCTAGGAGAGGCCCATCCTAAAATAAGATGCACAAAGCCTTTCTCATTAAAAAAAAAAAGAAAGAAAAAAAAAAGAGCCTCAAGTATATCTCAAAATTGCAGTTAAAAAACTTATATTATACAAGGAAATAGCAGCACAGAATGGCTAATCTTCAACCAACCAAACAAAAAAACCAAACCAAACATAACAAAACAAAAAAAGCCAAAACAAAACCCTCAAAATAAACAATGAAAAAAGTACCACCCCACCCCTCCCCTTGGTTCTTTTATCCTGGGATTTCTTTTAAAACCTGAAGGCTCTGAGAAAATGAGACAGGCAAAGCCACAGAGGGAAACTGCTTCAAGGCTAAATTTTGGACAAGGTAAAGAAAAAGCTGTAAATAAAAGTAAGGGGACTGCTGTTTGGAAAAGAATCAACAACTCTAGGATATTTTCTTCTTAGATGGGAAATCTCTGAAATCCAGATCACCTTTCTAGAGTCATCCTGGATTCTTTAGTTATAGGGCAATAAACTCAAGTGCAATGAGTAAAGTGCCAGCCAGGGATTAAAAAAAACAAAACAAAACACAAAACAAACAGCCAATCAAAATAACTGCTGTTAGGGTAACAGAAGACACACAGGAACGGACTGTTTGCAGAACATCTGTGGTTCTGTAGAAATTACTAGTCAATGGTTGTTTTTGTTTCCATCAAAAATCAGATGGAAGATTCAAGGATCTTAATAGTTATTAAAGGATGAAAAGAATATGACAGTGCTTTGAACAGTGATAAAATGGTACCCAAATTTGGTGTTCATACAGCTCATTTTAAAAGATAGCTTAAAAGTCACAGAAAAAAATGAATGTAGAGAACAACAGAAACAATCCAGGAAGATGACGCACCCTGGATACAGCCAGTTTAATGTCTCTGCCATCCAGAGAAGTAACACCCTTTTTCTTCCTCTCATCCTTATGCTGGCAATAGGAGATGCACTAGAAAGTTTGACTCTTAGAGTCAGTGAATAAAAGGATGAGCTCATACATCTTCATAGTTTTTTAAAAGGCTGCTTATAATTTAAAGGATGTCCTAATGGAAAGACAAGGGTACAGGGCGAGAGGCTGTTTCACATTTTAGTCCATTAGTCTTTGGCAAAGCCCAATCAAGGCCAAATTCACCTAGGATGCCCAATGGCTGTGGGAGAATCTCCACAGGGTCAAGTAAGCAAACCCAAATGAACATGTTGGATTAAAAAAAAAAACAACCAAAAATACCCAAAAAACTAGAAACCCTTCACCCTGAAAAGGGAAGAGGGCAATTCTAGGAGAGGAGGGGTGGAGGGTGGAGGGTCAGCAAGAGAGCTCTGCTGTGGTGCTGGGCGGGGGCTTAGGAATTGAGCCAAGGGTGCCGGAGACAATCAGCAGCGGTGGCTCTCTTCTCGGGGACCAGCTCCAACATGGGCAGTAAGAAATCCGTGAAGCCAGCTGCCTCTTCCTGAGACCACTCATACTTCTCCACTAGAACCTCAAAAAGGCCCCAGGGTTTCAGCTTCGTGATGTGTTTCAGGTCACCTATGGTAAAAACAGTACAAAGAAGCTGACCAACACTGACAAGTGACACAATTCTTTCGTGGAAATCCAGAAACTAATCCAGGTAGTCTATAAAGAATCAAATGTTGCCACCAGAATCTAACCCTCCATTCACAAAGAACCTCTCCTCTAATGCGTTTCTTAGAGAGAAGTGTCTCCATTTTTCATTAGGGCTTAAATTTAAGAAAATGTATTTGCTCCACCATTCCATGATTTTAGTTCCAGTCAAACTGGAAGGGCCTGTCAGGTATTCACTAAAATGAGTATTAGATGATTTAAATAAATGCCTATGTACTCAACATGGTTTC